CCCCGCCCCGCCCCGCCCCGCATAAGTTTAAACCCGCACTGCCCCGCACCCGCACCGCCCCATTGCCATCCCTACTAAGGACTGTAGACACACACTCTGCATTCCTTATTACTAGTGTTTCAGATGTACTTACATAACTTGCATCTAGGTTCAATTAAAACATGGGAGAAGTCGAAGCATATCTATTTTTGTAAGATGAGCTTCAATCAAGGTTCAAAAGCAATGTTATTTTCATAATAGAGCAGTTACATAGACAGCTAATAGGGCTTTATTAATAAATTGCCTTTCCACAAATTTATTCCTGTTTTCTTTGCTGTTGCTTGCTTGTATTTAGTGCATATTTTTGCTTTCAAAGGCAACCAGTTGAATATTTTGTCAAATTTTCTACTGGGGTCCACAATGTTTGACTGTGTCTGCCTGATAAAGAAAAAGTTTTGACTGTGTGTTTCAGTTTTCTGTTAGGTATTGCATAGACGAGGAGGATAGAGTGGTATCTTGTAATCAACCTTGACAAACTGTAGCTAGTTACACATTTTCAAAGCATTTTTCTGTAACATGGCATTTCATAGCAATCTACTAGATAAGTTATTAGTATAATGTTTCCAGAGGGAAAGAATTGGTAGGTACATTTTTTGTTTGTGTTCAACACTTGTGATCTATGGGCTTTGACATGCTCTTGTATGTGAGTGTATACAGATGGGAGGTTCACAATTGCGGACAGACTTCAATCAAGTTGGGAGTTTCACACAAGCAGATAGAGGATCTGCGTGGATTCCTGGTCGACCAGAGAATACACCAGGAATACAGTTTCCAGGACCACCACTGATCCCTGGCCAGATGGGTGCCGGCAATCAGCCTCCTAGGCCCCCAGCAGTAATATCCACAGCTTTATTTTTCACTTGGTTAGGTTAAAAACTAATCATTAGTTTTACCTTCAGTTTGAGACTCAAAAGGTTTATTTTGTCGATGTGCAGCTGAGTCCTGAGATGGAGAATGCGCTTCTTCAGCAAGTAAGGAGCCTGACGCCAGAACAGATTAACATGCTACCTCCAGAGCAAAGAAATCAAGTGCTTCAGTTGCAGCAAGTGCTCCGTCAATGAGAACCAAGTTCTGTCAAAGAACAATTGCAACGGGGGTGGAAATATTGGGTCCAGCTAATTGACTATGCTATTTATTTTGCTTTTTTTACAGACAGGATTCTCCTAAGTTTATGTTTCAATCCTTTATAGTTTCGCTCTTTTTTTCCCCTCATTAATGTTGATTGTTTTCAGGCGTTTTTAGGTTTGCCTGTATTTATGCTACGTAGCCTACAACTTATAAATTTCTGCCTGCTTGTCGTTTGAGGAACTCTTAGCTGCACAAATCGAATTCTAGTTCTCTATATTTTATCTTATGCCATCCCTCCCCTCTTCTTGTGCCTGTCATTGTAGTATATCTACAACCACTATGCATGGAACTCTATTAAACACGAGACTATGAAAGTGTATTAAGCCCCTCCGTCATGTCATGTCTCCTAATCGTCGAGAAGATTTGAATATGCAAATGCTTCTTATTAAGATTTTGCTCAGTCTCGTGGCTTGAACATTGTATACCTTTAAAGAGAGGAAATTTTCAGTAGCCAGTGCTATCCCCTGGTCAACTTCCGGCCAGCACTTGTTAGAAACCAGCAATTGTTTAAAAGGGCAGCTACAGAAGGCAGCAATGTTGCTGCTTTATTGGCTCTTCTATTCCGACATCCCAGCTCTCAACCAAATTTGATAACAAAATGAAGGGTCGCAACCTAAATATTCTTGCATTTTTAGATTATTGAATATGCTATATTATTAGATTATAGTTTTGATTTCGATTGCTAAACATCTTTACCGAGTAATTTAGCAACAAATTAAGTTCATCTTTCTATCAAATTTGGTGAAATTGTTTTATGTTTGGCCAAATCTTCGGGTTGTTACCACAATAAATACAATTTAGTTGAGCATCAGGTTCAATTTGAAACTATACAATTTAGTTGAGCATCAGGTTCGATTTGAAACTAAGACGTAGTTGTTTATGAATTATCATGTTTATAATTCATGCTATCAGTCGCTACAGATTCTTTTTACTGACTTTGCAGCTACCTAATGTTCCAAGCAAACCATAAACATAAGCGTAATAGAAAATGTTCCCTGGTTCAGATGATAAAGAGGACACGATTCAAAACGTAATATAACCATTTTAAAATCCAATAATCTCATAGCAACTGCTCATGTAAAATTGATTATTTATTCCAGTTAATTATGTGAAATAAATGGCCTTGTTGAAAACCTAAAAATTAATTGGAATAGATGCAACACCACCAATTAATTTCCACTAATGATAACAGTGAGTATTAACTATTAAGCAGTTCGATTAATAGTTTACCACTCCATCCGTTCACTTTTTACTTGTCCATTATGGATTTTGCACTCCCCTTAAGAAACAATAAATGAAGTGCATAATTTATGTTACGCAACGCCTTCCTGATGATCTTTAGAAGGGCAACGTAAGGCTAAGCAACCGATGTCAGTGCGGTTGTTGTCCGCCAATGAGGTCCTC